TCTCAGTTTCCAGATGCATTTAACAAAGACCTTTTAGAAATGGCCTGAGAGCTTGCCACTTAAGGAGGCAAGGGTTGACCTTTCCATCCTATTTTCTTTTTTCTGTCCTATTTTTTTTCCTGTCCTATTTTTTTATGATCTGTGCCTAACTTGCTACTCTCCCAGGGTCCTTAAGCTGTCATTAAAACTAGCCGTGTGGCACTCATAGCTTTAAGGACATCCTCACTGCTTGCATTATGCACAGTGCAGCCCTCCTCATGAGTATAAAGGACAGGGCTGCTCTAAGGCCCCTCCCAGGAAGCTGCACTGAGCAACCACTCAGGCACATAAGAAGGCCAAGTTGACCTTCCCTCTGCCCACCTAAGATTTAAGATGAGCATAAGAAGCATTCTTATCTTTATTTCATGTTTAAAAGATATTAAATAACATACATTGGGCTACATGTTGTTTATTAATAAGAAAATAAACAAGTGAAAATATAAAGGTAAGGCGAAAAAAGTAATACCTGAAATAAGTAAATACTGAAAAATAATCAAAATCCAGATGCCAAGCTTTTTGTCTGTAGTCTAAATTCTTATATCTACCCACTTTATTTTAATTTAATAAATCTTTATTGTCCAGATTATTACAGTTGTTCCTTTTTTCCCCCCATAGCTCCCCTCCATCGGGTTCCCACCCTAATATCTGCCCTTACATCCCTCCCCTCCTCCCCACTGTCCTCATCCATAGATGTACGATTTTTGTCCAGTTTCTTTCCACACACCCACTCCTCTTTCCCCCTAAGAATTGTCAGTCCACTCCCTTTCTATACCCCTTATTCTATTATATCTCCAGTTTATTCTGTTCATCAGATTTTTTTATTCTCTTGATTTTTAGATTCACTTGTTGATAGATATGTATTTGTCGTTCATAATTTTTATCTTTACCTTCTTCTTCTGTTTCTTCTTCTTCTTCTTCTTCTTCTTCTTCTTCTTCTTCTTCTTCTTCTTCTTCTTCTTCTTCTTCTTCTTCTTCTTCAAATACCTTTCAGCATTTCATATAATACTCATTTGGTGGTGATGAAGTCATTTAGCTTTTTCTTATCTGGAAAGCTCTTTATATGCCCATCAATTCTGAATGATAGCTTTGCTGGGTAGAATAATCTTGGTTGTAGGTTCTTGCTATTCATCACTTTGAATATTTCTTGCCACTCCCATCTGGCCTGCATAGTTTCTGTTGAGAATCAGCTCACAGTCATATGTGTGCTCCCTTGTAAGTAACTTTTTCTCTTGCTGCTTTTAATATTCTCTCTTTATCTTTTGCTCCTGGCATTTTAATTATGATGTGGTCCTCTTTGGATTCCTTTTGTTTGGGGTTCTGTGCACTTTCTGAACCTGTAAGTCTATTTCTTTCATCAGGTAGGGGAAGTTTTTGGTCATTATTTATTCAAATAGGTTTTGAGTACCTTGCTCTCTCTCTTCTTCTGGCACCCCCATAGTTCTGATATTGGTACACTTGAAGTTGTCCCAGAGGCTTCTTACACTATCTTCATATTTTTTAATTATTTTTGCTTTTCCATTTGATTGTTTTTTGCTTCTTTGTATTTCAAATCTTTGACTTGATTCTTGTGGTCCTCTAGTCTGCTGTTAGATCTCTGTATAATATTTTTTATTTCAGTCAGTGTATGCTTAATTCATAGTTGGTCCTTTTTCATATCCTCAGAAGTCTCGCTAAATGTATTGATCTTTTCTAGAAAATTATTGAAAAACCTTATAACTGTGGTTTTGAACTCTATATCCAGTCATTTGTTTTCCTCCATTTCTTTCATTTGTGATCTGTTTTTTTGTCTCCAGATTTTGGCTGCTTCTCTGAGTTGATAGAGTGGTTTTGTGTGCTAGGTGTCCTATAGGGGCCCAGTGGCTCAGCCTCCCCAGTTACCTGAGGTGGACACTCTTGATACACCCCTTTGTGGGCTATGTGCACAGTCTTATTGTAGGTAAGTCTTGATTGTTGTTGGTATCACTGGGAGGAACTGACCTTCAGGCCAATTGGCTGTGAAAATCATCTGTGTCTATGCTGGGAGAACTTCTGTGCTGGAGACAAGACTCGCAAAAGTCTCTGTGCTCAGCTTGGATGGGGAAGAGTCTCAGTGCAAAGCAGACAGCATTGGTTTACCTTCAGCCCTGCCCTAATAAACCCCTGTGTCTCAGTATCCCATGGCAATCGTTATAAGCACCTCTGAGAGAAAGCTGCCCTCAAGTTCCACCCACTGCCAGACCATCCAGTTTCTCCCTGGATGAGTCTGGGTCCCCAGAGTCTCTCCCAGAACTGGAATTCAGTGCAGTCTGGAGCTTTTGTCTCCCTCTTGCTTGAGAAAGCCAGCCGCGTACTCAGTTGCCTGCCCTCTCCACATGCGCTCCTCAGTACCTTTGCCTTCCGCAGATCCTCTGTGTCTCAATGTACTTTTCTCTTTCCTTCTACAATAGTTGTAGAATTTTCACTCAGCCAGCCTTCCTGTTGTTCTGGATGATGTCCATTTTGTCTTAGTTGTAGTTTTGAAATTGTTGTGTGAGGCAGCAGTTTAGGTGTTTACCTATGCCACTATCTTGGTTTCTCCCTATCTACCCACTTTAAACTGCCTCCCACTAATCCTCCATGCCACTACAGTCATGTTTTGCCTTATTTTATCATGATGTGTTTCCATCTTATCTCCCTTGGGAATAAGGATCTTTTCTATGTCACCTTTATGTTTCCTGCAATGTCTAGGAAGTGCATTATAAGTAGAAGATATTCAGTAAATTTTAGTTGGGTGAATGGATGTATGAATGAATGAATGCAGTAGGGTTCACCAAACAGCTGCTTATAATAAGAAGTTGGCTCATTTTATTTCTGTGTCCACTGGCTGAGCTTCAGTAGATGCTCAAAAATGTTGAATGAATGAATAAGTAATCAAATAGATGAATGGCTAGCTAGAGTCCCAGATTGTAATACAAGCACATTAAAAATCAATGAAGTCCCTAATCTCTACAACATGTTTACAAGGCAGGTACTAACACTGCCCCCTTACTGAGGCTTGGAGAGTTTAAGTAATCAACTCAAGGTAACACATCTTGTAAGTAGCAGAGCCATCTTGGCACTATGAGGACCCACCCACCTGAGAAGTAGGAATGTAACCCACATGAATGCCCTTACTTCTGACTTAGCTGGCATGTGGAAGTTCCACAAACTACCCTTAGGCTCAATAATTTGCTTGAAGGACTCAAAATCACTGAAAGGTGTTATACAGGGAAAGAGCACCAGTTGTCAGCCAAGGAAAGACAAACATAGGACAGAGTCCAGGAAGGTGCAGGTGCAGAGCTTCCTGTGCATTCTCCCCATGCATTTGGGACAGTGTCATTTTCTTGATATTGATGTGTGATGATACCCATGGAGCTTAGCTCTCCAAGCCTTCCCATTTAGAGTTTTTATTGGGGCTTGGTAACTAGGCAGTGCTTTATCACAGGCAGTGCTGCTGCCATTTGAAACTGATTGATTGACTGATGGATCAACTTATCATGTGGTTGTAGTTGCTGTCCAGATCCACTGCATGACCCAAAGCACTCACCTAAATTGCTGGTCTTGCTGATACAGCCAGTCCTTATCCTGAAATACATTAGTAGATTATCCACCATGACTCAAGGCCCCCAGAAAAATGGGCATTCCCACCCAGCAGGGCATTCTAAGGCTAAATTCACCTCCCAGAAGCAAGGTCAGGGGCCAAACCTCTCTTTAAGCAGGTTAAGTTATTTACTCCACAGGCATTGATAGCACAGGTGGTGGTTGGCATGTCCTCATCACAGTGTACTAACAATCCCTGCTTAGGCTGAAGGGAGAAGTGGGCCAGCCGCCCACCCATGCCTGATGCTCCTGGGTTATGAGGCTCTATCATGCCAGAGGTTGGACCATGCTTTATTATGAAAACCCATTTCATCCAGTCCAGTCAGCTACACGTTTCTCACTAAGAGAAAAGAATCTACTGGGGGGGGGGGGGGGGGGGGGGGGGGACACGACTGGTGATTATCTACAATAAAACAGGTCTGAGAAAACTGTTACATTTGGGATTTTCTTACTGCCATGGAGCCCCACAGCATTGTAGGGCACTAAGCGTTTTTATTCTTACACTTCCTGTTGTCCTGCTTCTCTCTGTGAGCAGAGAGGAGGGTGGTGCCTAAAGAGTGGAGCTTCACATTTGGGGTTTATGTGAGTGTTTATCACAGGCAGTGCTGCTGCCATTTGTAACTGAGCCAGGCTATGCTATGAAGGGAACAGTGATGGGAATACAGCTGCTTGTCAAAGAGTGATGACCCAGTGGTTGGGGTATTTCCACCCTGCCCCCACAGTTCCTGCACTGTATTGTGCAGTTAATGGGGCCTTTGCTGCCATATTACCTGTCTGTTTCCTGCAGTATCCAGATCAAGTCATGTCACATGGTGGGGACTCAAGGAACATTGTGAAATTGAGTGTGATACCTCCCCTCCAGAACCTGCATCTTGCCTGCCAGCCAGAGTGTGGTTAAGACTTCATTCATGCCTCTCACGGCAGCCCCTCCTTCCTCACTATGGCTTTCTTGAGAACCTTCCTTCCAACCCACCTGAGTCAATTAGAACTGAGTTCCTCAAACCAAATAGTGGATCATAATGAAAGGAGACTTACTGTTCATTCTTGATTCCTGGGGTCATGAGTTTACATCAAAATGGACCCACAGCCTGTAGCTTCTGAGGACCTCCATGAGACCAGACTCTAAACAGACCACCCACCAGACTGGGCTGTCCACTCTCATGGGTATGCCATTTTTCCCTCTTCACTCTCCTCCCATTTCTTTGTGTCTTACCTAAGCAAAGAAGTAGACTGGTCTCTCCAAGGTTGTCCTCTCCCCACCCAGCAGTGCTTTGTGGGACACTTTGCCTCAGATGTGGCTTTTAACCATCTTGTATATGGTTTTGTCATTCCCTCACTTTGATTGTGTGATTGTTTCCTCACAGCAGTTCTGAGTCTGAGATGGAGGAGGAAGAGGAGGAGGAGCCTCCACTGCCTACCTCGGACCTGGGTGGTGTTCCTTGGAAGGAAGCTGTGAGGATCCATGCTCTTTTAAAAGGAAAGAGTGAAGAGGAACTGGATGCCTTGAAGAGCTACGAGCCTAACTATGACCATGAGGAGGAGGAGTGCGACGAGGAGGAGGGAGAGGAAGACTCTGACGAGGAAGAGGAGGAGTCTAGTGAAGGTCAGAAAACAATCTCTTCTCCTATCCTGGACCCTGTCTGTCACTGAAGCAGCCTGTTTTATGCGTGAGCATGAGAGATTTCTTTGGCTGGAGTCACATAACATGCCTCCACAGAGCCCCAGAGACATTCTTCCTGTCTCTCTCTGAACTTAGATACAGAGGCAGAGAAGACCATTGACAGTGGAAATGGTGTTCCTTGTGCATGTTCTGAGTTGAAATTGGATGGTAGAAGGCCAAATTAGGTTCTTCATTTTCCTCTCCTTCTCATTTTCTATTTTTTCCTCTTTAGTTTCAGCAAATGAGGTTTATTTTCATGAATAAAGGGACTTTAGCTTTCTATATGTTCCCTAACACCTAATCCTTGATATTGCAGGCTGCAAAGATTGAATCTCATTGAGGAGGGAGCTGTGAGCTGGGGACCCACTGAACAGTATTTAGTCAATGATGTATAGTAGCATGTTTGGACCAGTGTCCTGAGAAGGAGTATCAATTTCAGCATCAAGTTAGTCTGGTTGGCTCTGAAATGTTCTCTTGGTTTGGAGTCAAGATGTCTCAACTCTGTCCCTATGTCTGGCTCTGTGTGTCCTTGAGTGAATAAGAAAGAACTTGCTGGGCTTCCTTTTCTTGCCTGTGTAAGAGAGGTCATTCTCTCCTGGCTGATGGGTGGTAAAGAAGAAAATGGGCAGGTAGAGACCTGAGTTCCTCTCAGGGTGATGCTATGACTATTTCCTGTATGCTCCCAGGAGTCATGGTGAGCACCAATTCCTCTAAGCCATTAGAAGAGCAGTCAGTTCTGGACAGCCTGGGCACATCGAATTGGCACTAGATGGTTCGGCTACCTCATCCATCCCAGGATCTATTTTCTCTGGCACAGCAAGGACCAAGAGCTAGCCAGACACAGAGTCCTGCCAGCCAGGATGCATATTACTGGTAGTCTCGGGGGGCTGTGTTGCTGTAAGACCCCAAGCCTGATTAGGCACAGCAGGCAGAAAGAAAGCACATGCTGGCATGTCCTTGAGGTGCCCATATCAGCATGAACTGTCAGAGGCAGGACATGCACTCAGGCTCCCTAAGGAGTTTCTCTCTACCTGGTTCTTCTGCTGAGGTAGGACCCACCAGGTAGCACTGCCCCTCCCTCCTTACTCATTTTTATGTGCAAAAGGAGGCAGGCCTGGGCCAGGAACCTGACACTGGGTTCTTTTTTCCATATGCTGTGTCTCTGGCATATGGCCATGACTGGCCTTATATCCCTGCTAGTCATAGGGGTTAAGTGTGTTCACAGCTCTTTCGGGGAAAGGTATTTTGTTTATATCATTCTAGATGTCATTATCTCCATTTGATGATTAATATGTTCAGTGGCCTATAGCCCCAGACATGGCCTAGGATCACAGCCTATTTCCTTTACAGGAGCAGTTAGCCTTGCCTTCCCTTACAAAGACTTAATTTCCCAGACCTGAACCTGGCATCAAGACCAGGAGATGGGCTTTAAATAGAGAAACACACATACCAGCAAATTCTGCCAACACCTGTGTGCCTTGAGCAGTGAACTTTGGTGCCTGTGTAGACAAGGACAGGACATTATTGCCTTGCAATTGAAAATAACTCTTCTCTTTTCTCCCTGTTTATCCCCACATGGGATTCTTGTTGCTGTGTGTGTGGGTATCTGATTCCCCCTTCTGTAGAAGGGGAGTATTGCCCCTGGGACAGAGAACTACAAGGCCAGTGGCTCCAGTGTCTGTCAGAGGAAGATTCGGGTACATGTAAAGGTACCCATTCTGTCTCTTGCCCCCCTTCTACCCTGGCTCCCTGGCAGCCATTCACAGTCTGCCTCCAAGAGCAGGTCCCACATGAAAATATCTGTGTTACAGAGCTGCACTGATAGGATTTGGCACATATCCCTGGGCCCAGTCTTCATGAATGGTCATGTACAAAATAGCACATGAGACAGAGATTCAAGAGGAAGTCAGAGAAGACTCCAGAAGCAGCCTTATTGAATGTGGCCCCATCAATGCCCTTCATACATTCTGCTGCAAGTTCTCCTCATTCAGTTAAGACTGGCTTCTTCTCTAATGCAGAAAGCCTCACATCACATCACAACTCCCAGCAGTGGTTCAGATTTCCAGAACCTCCCTGCATGGTGTCTTTTAACATTTCCCTGGGAAAGTAAAGTGATGGCATATAAGTCCTCAAGGCTTCAGAAAGAAGATTCACTCTCTTCCCATTGTTGCCAGGAGGATGAAAAGGAGCCCTACATTTTTCTCTTTAATTTATCTTCCCTAAGACATTCAATCTGTTTGGTGACTTTGCTGTGATTTAGCCCCATCCAGCACCATAGAGATTAATTGGCCTTAGAAAAGGCCATGAGCCTATAGTGACCTGCAGCTCTGTGTTTAACGTAACATACTGCTCATATCCACATTTGGTGATCTTTTTGGTGCTTTCTGCATACATCACATTTTCTGTTGTTTGTAAATTAATAGATTGTCTTTACAGTAATGAATCCAAAGCAGATTATACAGTTAGATTGTTGAGAGCAGGTTCCCATCAGGAATGACAGAGTCCTTCAAATCAGGTGGCACCTGCTCTTGCTGCCTGAAAAGTCATCCTCGCTTCTATAGTATTCCTTCCCCAATGTGTCTGGCTATTCCTTTATTTTAACCCAACTGTATAGCCTGGTCCAAGCACTGATTACAGGGATCCCACAGGGCAGGGCCACATGCAGAACCCTTGGGTTCTGACATCAAGAATAAAATGAGGACTCTGGGGAGTTCTCATTTAGCTGAGAAACTGGGTCTTTTGACCAATGGGGAACCAAATGGAATTTAAAGACAAAGGGCTTTCACCTCAGAAAATACAGAGAGCCATTGTCTACCATGTACTTCCAAAGCTTTGAGAATTTACAGGATGGAGGTCTGTTTCCTCTCCAACCATGCCTCTCCTAATTCCATCTTGTCCCATAGCTGTATCCCTGTGTGTGCAGCATGAGGCCTTTTATAAAATAGGTGGGGATTTTTTTTCTCTTGCTAGCTCCAGAAGATAAAAACTAAAGTATTGCCGGGACCTGTTTGGCTCAATGGATAGAGCATCAGCTTGGGGACTGAAGGGTCCCGAGTTCGATTCCGGTCAAGGGCATGTACCTTGGTTGCGGGCATATCCCCAGTGGGGGGTGTGCAAGAGGCAGCTGATCGATGACTCTCTCTCATCGATGTTTCTGGCTCTCTATCTCTCTCCCTTCCTCTCTGTACAAAATCAGTAAAATATATTAAAAACAAAACAAAACAAACTAAAGTACCAAGAAAGTACATTTATATCCTGTGTGAGTTGGCTGGTTCATGGCAGAGTGGCACTGTCCCATTCCACCTTTCTCTTGATTCAACTCTCAAAGGGAAGCATAGCAGGTGGTAGTAAGCACCTTGCTGCGTGACGAACAGAAAAAGCATGAATGGTGCATTCTTGGGGCTCTCCCACTATAATGGGTAACAGCTCAGAATTCATGACCTCTGGAAAGATGCCCTCAGGGACCAGTTGTAATCTGCTCTTTTTTTTCTAATTTGTCATTTGGGTCCCTCTAATGCAGTTAAAGCAAGAAGAGCATCAGAAAAGAAAGTTCTTTCTGAATTGGAGTTGAATGTATAATATGAATCTCATTGAAATTAAGTGTATGTGAAATTTGAAATGACTACATCAAATTAGACAAGTAGAAACCTTGTGTGTGTGTTTGCATGTGCCCACATATTCTCAATTTTTGTTCTTTCTGATTCAAACTAATCCTAGCAAATATGATAAATTTTCTGTTTCCTTTTACTGTGGTGTTTCATTCCCTTGACTGTTTATTTTCTCCTTTCTTCTTCCCCATCTTCTCTCCCTTTCTCATCTTCCTTGAACTTGGTGCTGTAGCTGGGAGCCAGCGGCTACAGCAGATCATAAATGCAACCGATCCCTTGGAAATCCAGGCTGATGTGCACTGGACACATATTCGTGAGAAAGAGGAGGAGGAGCGAATGGTACCAACCTCTGAGCCCTCCACTTCTAGAGGTAACTGCTTTAGGATCCAAGGACCTGATTCCCCTAGGAGCATTTTCTGTCTCTACACCCCCTTTCCTTGCTGCAGAGGATTTTTCTGTCAGGGCCAAAGCCATCAGTTTAAGCAAATGTAAGAGCTGACAGAACATTTCATTTTCTTGCCGAAACCGGTTTGGCTCAGTGGTAGAGCGTCGGTCTGCGGACTGAAAGGTCCCAGGTTCGATTCTGGTCAAGGGCATGTACATTGGTTGCAGGCACATCCCCAGTGGGGGGTGTGCAAGAGGCAGCTGGTCGATGTTTCTCTCTCATCGACGTTTCTGACTCTCTCTCTCTCCCTTCCTCTCTGTAAAAAAAATCAATAAAATATATATTTTTTTAAAAAAAGTACATTTCATTTTCTTGGTGTTAATGGTGGCCACTGCCCTGGGCTTTTGTTTTTAATATATTTTATTGATTTTTTTTACAGAGAGGAAGGGAGAGAGAGAGCTAGAAACGTCGATGAGAGAGAAACATCGACCAGCTGCCTCTTGCACACTCCCAACCGGGGATGTGCCCGCAACCAACTTACATGCCCTTGGCCCGAATCAAACCCAGGACCTTTCAGTCTGCAGACCGACGCTCTACTGCTGAGCCAAACCGGTTTCAGCTGCCCTGGGCTTTTGTGTGAGAATATGTGAAGTTCTCTGTGGGTTAAGAGGTTATGGGATCTTCTCCCCCAAAGCAAAATAGAAAAATGAAACTTGATCTTGAAGAAATTGAGAATTTGCTTTCATATTACTAGGCAGAGTTATTCTTTCTCCACTTGATAGAATATTCTGGTCCTTTCCTCATGGAGTGTATCTGGGTGTGAATGTGCATTGGCAGGATGGGGGCAAGGGAAGCATAGTTTGAATGGAAATGAAGTTTTAAGAAGAAATATGTATCAAGGAGACTCTAAGTATTTAACAATTTCTAATAGTGAGCTCTAAGTTGTAGGCAAGATGATCTGTGTTCCACAGTAGAATGAAGATGAACCTTATTCTGGATTCTTTTAAGGAATATCAAGCAATAAAAGAAAGAAAAAGTGTGGAGGGCTGTGTCAGCTGCCATGTCATTCTCACACTTTCTGGCCTTCCCATACTCATCTTCCAAATACATCAATCTCTGTCTCTTTCTGTTGGGAACTGATGGAGAACCACACACCATGCAAGTCTCTGAGTATACAAGGGGTGGTCCCTGCATTCATGAAACAACCTTCATGAATCATTTGATTCTCCTCTGCCCCAAATCTTCACCTGTCGGCAAAAACAACCTCAGTTAACTATTTCTGCAACAATATAAATGTATCCAGAAGCATCCTGGCTAATATAGCTCAGTTGATTGGGTGTCGTGAATCCAATTCCTGGTCAGGGCACATGCTGGGGTTTCAAGCTTGATCCCCAGTAGGGGGCATACAGGAGGCAGCTGATTGATGTTTCGTTCTCATTGATGTTTCTCATCCATGTTTCTCTCTCTCTCCTCCCTCTCCCTTCCTTTCTCTAAAAATCAATTTTGAAGTATTTTTTTTTTTTAATGTACTTAGAAGCTATGCAGGAGTAGAGGAGAGAGACCCTGCTGACCTGGAACAATGTCACACTACCCTGCAAGACAGAGCTATCTCTGCATCCTTGAAACTACAGTATATTGCCCCTCCCTATGTTCCCTGTGTTTTCTTTCCTCTCCTGGACTGATACCCTTGTCAGTTCTGGATAGGCCCCTGGCCATAACATCATTTTAGTTTCCCTTTTGTTTTGGACTTTAGGGTTGCCCTCAACTCTCCTCACTGGGAACACTTATTCCTATGTAACTTTGTATTTATCATCTGTTTTAAATTCAGTGCCTGACCTTCCCTCCATACGCCGTGCAGCAGTTCAGGCCTGGCTGGAGACAGTGTCCGGAGGTAGTCTGGTGATGTTTGTTCTATTTCCACTCACCATAACAACTGTTTCTTGGCAGCTCTGCTGATATTTTAACACTAGAATTCTGATCCTACCACTAGTGCATGCCAAGGGCGGAGGGTGGGGGAATGTGCATGCCTCACTTAGGCAGCCCATCCTTGCATGGACAAGACACACACCCCGCATTCTTCAGGGAAGATCCAGAGGCAAGCAGTAATATAGACAGGACAGAGATAGACACTGATTTTAATTAACAGAGGTTGGGTAAAAGCCAAAGCTAAAGAAACATTTTTAGCACTGAGCTCTAAAGTATGTAGAAATTGAGTGTGGAAGTAAAGGAATAAAAAAATAAAATGAAGGAATCAGTTAATATTCTACAAACCTACTGAAATATTAGAGAAGGAGGCAGTCAGTACTCAGGGGAACCAATGGAACACTTATCTGTGAAAAAGGGAAAGCGAAGGAGGGCAGGTGTTGTTCAGCTAAAAGCAGATGGACATGCTGGGCATAATCAGCTGGGTCCTCAGACTAAGGTGAAAGTATCTCTTTAAGTAATTAGGCCAAGGAGTAGCTAAGAAACCTCAGTTGTCCTTCTGAAACTTTTCTGGAGAGGTTTCTCAATGAGGGGGTTCCTGGCATTTGGGGCAGGACAGTTCTTTCTGTTGCAAGATGCTTAACACCCTTGGCCCTCTAAATGTCAGTGCAGTCTTCACTCCCACTCCCATCCCTAGAACAACCAAAAGTGCCTCTATGCAATACCAATTAACACTCAGGGAAGGGAAGTAGTGACCCTGGTTGAGAATCACTATCCCAGTGGTTATTTCTGGGATAGACAAGATTTGAATTCATGGATCTTACCACCAGCCTCTTCCCAGTCCAGCACATTGTCCTCATAGGCACCAGGGGGAAGGGGCATGAGCACACCATTAGAAGCACCTTCTTGTATAAAGCAGGGAGAATGAGCCAGAGCCTTAGCTCTGAGTATAGGAATTGCTACTCACTCTCTCCTAGTCAGTTTGTATCTCCAGGACACTTGAACAAGACTGAGGTGTCAGGAATTCCTAGCTGACAGCTTAGTGTGGCAGTGATTTCTGGCTTCTGTAGTGTGTGGCAGCTTCTAGTCCCCTACACTCCATCTTAACCTGGCTCTAACCCCCAGTTCCATCCCCCAAGCTGTGTCTCTCAACATCTGGTGCTGTACTGATACTCCTCACTTATTTGTGTTGATATATGTGACAATGGTTCTTCTCAAGGACTATAAACGTCTCACCCACCTGACTCTCCAACAGACCTTTCTTAGTAGAAACTCATAATGAGAAACACGTGAGTATGAAGATCAGGCCTGTGCTGAAGCCTATGCATTTCAGTATGCCTTGCTCTATGCAGATGGGGTGTCTGGTCCTTGGTCTTCTCTGTGCTTACCAACAATAGTGCAAAGTTACTACCTGATATCCAGGCACTCAGAGTCATATGAGTACACATAATGGTGGTACAATGAACCTCTCCACTACAGGCCCAGGTTTAGTTCCCACCAGGTTGGGGTGGTACCAAGTAGAAAGATTCTAGGGAAGGAGCAGTGTCTGCCAGCCTTGTCAGCAAAGGGGTAGTACAACCATGAACTTACTCTCTAAACAGAAAGCTCGGGTGTGAGGAGCACGGATATTTGTCTGTATCTCAGAGGTCCCACTTTCTGGTGTTGATAAACTAATTTCTTTGAGTGACCAATGGCAGTCTTACCACACAGAAGTTTTAAGGCTGTGGAAATATTTGGGTAATTTCCCTCAGTCTTTTCTCAGCAGATGCCATTGTCATAGGAATGCATCTTGGTGTTGCCAGCTCTGTGAGCTGCTCTGCTATCTCAAGGGGGAATGTGATATTATCCATTTGTCAGCCTAGAACTTGTCCTGGAATACTCCAGACCTCTTTAGTATAGTTCTCCAAAGCTGCATGTAAAAACAGCACCCAATTTTTAGTAAGTTCAGTATACACAGGATGGTTCACAGCTTTTAAGGAATTATTAAAAGCAAAAAGTCAAGAAATAAAACATTGCCAGTGTCTTCAAAGTGCCCCTTCCCTCATTCCTATCCCAAAAGGTAGGCACTTCCTTGATTTTCACTGTACCCTGACCTCTGGGACCATGCTTATGTTTCTGCCACACTCACTCTGCTCATCGTTCAGGTGTGGGGTACAGATTCACAAGGCTGGCCTGTGAGCAGACAGTGACCTAGTTGTCTTCTCAAATTCAACACAACCTTGTAAAAAATCCATCCAACTTGTGCTACAGCCAGTTTTTCTGCCATCCACTTTCCCTTGGGCTTTGATCCTCTGATTCTTGTATATACACACCAGAACATAAGCCCTTTTCCTAAATGAAAACCTTTAAGAATGATTTGAGGGAGGTTAAAAATGGCAGCAGAATAAGTGGATGCTGCACTGACATACTGCAAGGACCAAACTGGAATTACAACTAAAATACAGAAAAACTTCCTGAACAATCAACAGAAGACTCACTGGAGAGAACCCTGATAACCGAGGAAGGGAAATGGAGACTGTATAAAGACTGGTATGAGGGGCAGAGGCATGAAAGGACTGGCTTGGCTCCCACAGACAGCAACTGAAGTTCCAGAGAGATACCTTAGCTGTGAGGGGTTGCCACTGAAAACTTTAGGGTCAAATCCCCAAGCTGGGCCCCTAAACAGAAAGCACCATGTTTGTGGAAGAAACATAAGCACGGTCCCAGAGGTCAGGGTACAGTGAAAATCAAGGAAGTGCCTACCTTTTGGGGTAGGAATGAGGGAAGGGGCACTTTGAAGACACTGGCAATGTTTTATTTCTTGACTTTTTGCTTTTAATAATTCCTTAAAAGCTGTGAACCATCCTGTGTATACTGAACTTACTAAAAATTGGGTGCTGTTTTTACATAACATCTGAATGTGAAAAGCATTCAGGTTGCTATCTGCCAGAGAGAGATGGCTGGAAATGCAGGCACCCTCTTAAAGGGCCAATGCACAATTGAAGCTGATGCAGTGCAGTGTACCTTGCCCTACAGCGAAGGGAGGGCAAAGTGGATTGGAGCTGTGTGAGCAGAAGCCAGGATTAGGAGCTCTGGGTTAGAACTCAAAAGGTAAACACTCTGTGTCCTATGCTGTCATTCCCACAAGCTGCAGAGATCATTTTATCATGCAAACATTTGCTATTCAGGAAGCTTTGCCTGGGGGGAAGACAGTTGACCTACCCCCGTTGGTCAGCAAACTGCGGCTCAAGAGCCACATGCAACTCTTTGGCTTCTTGAGTGTGGCTCTTCCACAAAATACCACGGCCTGGGCAATCTATTTTGAAGAAGTGGCGTTAGAATTTTAAGTTTAAAAAAGTTGGCTCTCAAAAGAAATTTCAATCATTGTACTGTTGATATTTGGCTCTGTTGACTAATGACTTTGCTGACCACTGACTGACCTACCCTATTGGAAAACACCTTGTCCAACAAGAGGAGTTTCTGAGGCCCATTAAGAGACTGAGAATAACAGTTAGCCTCTAGGCAAAACCAATTGCCCCACCCTGTTGAAAAAACACTCACCACACCTGTGGAGGATTGCCTGAGGGATATTCAAAGACTGAATCCTATCAGTTGGTAGACGGAGCTGATCTGTAGAGGCTTAGAGTTTTTACCTGATCTTATTAGTCAGAGACAGCACTTGACACTGTCCATCGCTAGAGATTGAGAGGCATAGCAGACCAACCTAATACATAGACACAAACCCAAACAGGCAGCCAAAATGAGGGCAACCCCCAAATGAAAAAGAAACAACCCCCAAATGAAAAAAAAAAAAAAGGAACTCTCCAGAAGAAAAGATAAATGAAATGGAGATAAGAAATTTATCTGATATAGAATTCAGAATGATGATGGTAAAAATGCTCAACAGCACAAGAGAAGATACAGTAACTATGAAAACAGAAATAAAGAATAGCAGAGCACAAAGAACACATTGGAAGGAAGGCACAGCAGGTTAGAGGAAGTTGAGGATAATATTAGTAAATTATAAGATAGAGTTGAAAAAAGTCACTCAGAGAATCAAGAAGAAAAACAAGAGGACAGCTTAAGAGAGCTGTGGGATAACATGAAATGTCACAATATTCAAATAGTAGGTGTGCCAGAAGAGGCAGAAAGAGAGAAAGGGAAAGAGAACATGTTTGAAGAAATAATGGCAGAAAACGTCCCTAACCTGGTAAAGGAAAAAGTCACACAGTCCAGAAGGCACAGAAAACCCACACAAGAAGAACCGAAATGCCCATGCACAGAAACATAATTAAAATGACAAAAATTAAAGAGAGAATCTTAAAAACAGCAAGAAAAAAGGAAACTATCACCTACAAAAGAGCTCTCATAAGGCTGACACCTGATTTATCATCAGAAACTCTATAGGCCAGAAAGGAATGGCATGAAGTACTCAAGGTAATGGAAATCAAGGATCTGAAGACAAAATTACTTTGAATGAAAGGTGAAGTAAAGAGCGTCCAAGACAAAAAAAAAAAAAAAAGGCTAACAGAATACATCACCACCAAGCCAGCATTACAAGGAATGCTAAAGGGATTGTTGTAATGATAAGTACTAAAAGGGGAAATTTAAGGATACATAATTGAAATGGCAAAAAATAAGTACCTGTTAGTAATAATCACAAATATAAATGGATTAAATGCTCCAATCAAAAGACATAGGGTAGCTGAATGGATATAAAAACATGACCCAACTATATGCTGTCTACAAGAGACCTACCACAGAACAAAAAACTCACACAGGATGAAAGTGAAGAGATGGAAAAACATTTTCCATGCAAACAGAAATGAAACAAAAGCTAGAATAGCAATACTCATATCTGAAAAAATAGACTTCAAAATGAAGGCCATCACAAGAGATAACACAGGTCACTACATAATACTAAATGGATCAATCTAACAAGAGGATATAATCCTGGTAAACATACATACACCCAATATAGGAACATCT